TCTTTCAAATGTCTCTCTCTCCAACCTGGATGTTTCTTCTAAGCTGAATTTCTTCTTTAGATTGGTTAATATGATTCCCAGCTAGTCCAGTAGGTGACTTTGCATAATAATAAGCAATTTGTAAATGGCCTAGTTCAGTTCAGCTATTCTTTTTAAGCATTTCTATTCACTGTTAAGTTTTTTAAATGCTTTATAATCATTTTTGCTTGATATTCTTATAATAAAATTGTGAAATAGGTCAATATGAAACTCACTGGAATCTATGTTTCTCAGAGATACTACATAATTAGGCTTTTATATTCCTCCAAGGTAAAACAGAGGCTAGCCTCAAAAATATTGGAAGAAAGAATTGGTAATAGTGTCACTTTATAAATTTGCACAGAATTGATGAAACATTCCTAAGGACTTGAAAAGGTAGCACTGAACAGATGAGTTTGCTAAACCTTTACATGAAGGTCACCTGACAGCCTTGCAGCAAGAAGAATTCCTGAAGCAAAATTCCAGATACAGTCTCCTTCACAATAAAAATGATTCAGCTTTCCTACCCAGGCTCTACAACTAACATCAATCCAGTTTCCCACTAACTCTGCTAATTCTTCCTCTGCCATGGGTTTTGAACCATACTCTAAGCCTTAACTCTCCTAAACATCCTCCAAGCTTAGACCTAAGGATAACTCCATTTAACCACTTACATCAATTTTGAAATGCCCTGTATTTTGGCTTCTAAAATATCCCCTATTCTTATCTGGCTGCCTTCATTTTCTTTTGGGGTTCTTTTTTCCCTACCAACTCCTTCTATGCCTCTTGTTCCTGATGGGTTTACATTCTGCAGGATGAAATATTTTGAGCTCCTCTCTCCTTAGTCTATGTAATTCTGAGGTGATCTTATCAACCACAACAGCTTCTAGCAGCACTTCTCTGAAATCTTTCAAATGTCTCTCTCTCCAACCTGGATGTTTCTTCTAAGCTGAAACATATGTCCCCAATACCTATTAAACATCTCTAATGGATACTGCATAAATACCATAAACTTTATATGTCAAACCAGCTTCAAGTGTTTCTTATTTTGAATCTTAGTAAATGTAATCACCATCCACTCGGGAAACCAGACCCTAAATCCTGGAGTCATACCAAAATGTTCTCTGCTTCACTTTCCACATTCAGTAAAACTTTATTTCTCCGAAATATTTGATCAACTACTATGTACCAGATATTAAGCCATGTGCTAGACATACCGCAGTGAGCAAGGTAGACGTCATTCTCATAGAATTTACATCCTAATGGAATGTACAGAGGTAAAGAGGCCATTCATATGGTAATCTATGTGAAAGACATTCCCAAGAGTTTGGCAATATACAACCTATGGAGCTGTATATGGTAGTCCTGCAGACACAGTGTCAAAAGAGCAAAAGTAGCATGTTCATTATTACTTTTTTTACCATGCCTCTGCATTATAATTTTCCTGGACTGCCACAATAACTCTCTAACCATTTTCTGTCTTTTTTTCCTAGTCCCTATTGTATTCATCCACTACAATGTTGGCAGAATAATCTAAAATTCCAAGCTGACCATAACCTTATCATGCTAAACACCACCTATAGGATACAATCCAAAGTCCTTAAACTGGCATACAAAGCCTTCATGATAGAGTCTCTTGATCCTCCATTCCTCCACACGTTCTCCACTGTGGCCATGCTAAGCTCCTTGCCCATCTCCACGCTCAGAGTACTCTCTCACTGTTCTAGGCCTCGAAACATGCCCTACCGTAAATAATCCTCCCCACCTGAATCACTTCTTGCCCTTCACACTTATCCCTGGCATCAATCTCTATAAAGTCTTCCTTAAGATTCATCATGGTCCTATGGGTGTCCCAACTCTGCTCTCTCATGTCACCCTGCCATATGCCCAACATATTACTTGTGGAATCAGATTATAATTACAAGTTTGCTTCTCTTTCCTGATACACAATAAGTTTTTGACAGTCAAGGACCCTGCTTTGCTCATTTTCATATTTTTGCTTCCTCTAACAGTGCCTTGCATGTAGGAGTTCCTCGATAAATAGTTGGTGAATAAATTAATTGGTGGCAAATAGTCTACCTTGCATAATGATATTGGGTTTTTCCTCATATACCATGTTATGAAGTCATACCTATCTCAGAATGGACAGTAGTTTCCTAGTCTAGGAGGCCACTCACCCTTCCTGTCTCCATTGCAGGTCCTTCACAGTGTCTAATAAGAGAATCCTTCTGAAAAATGGCAGTCTTACAATTCCTTCAAAGTACAAGACTCACTTCCTGAAGGAAGCCCTCTTCATTACTTCAATAGAAATAATATATTATTATTCAGAACTCTCCATGTTTTAACACAGGAATAGATATTTGCCTACATTTTTGCTAAGAAACTTTTCTATGTATATGTGTAATAGGGAAGAACTAATCTGACTCCATACTGGATCTGTTTATTTTACTTTAACCTTCCTGTTCTATTGTTTTTGCTACAAGTTAAAAATGTTGCCTACAGCCTGAAATATACAGGATAGCCCATCCTCAAGGCTCTGACATTTAAAGGTGTAACACTTCTCCATTCATATAGAGATAAAAAGTTGCAGAACAGAGAATAACATTTATGACCGGACCTGCCTGGACAGCTACAAGACCAAAGGATTCCCACACCAAGAAGTCTGCACCGACCAACCATACACCCTCCCCTTTTAGTATAAAAGAAGCCTGAATTCTAACTTGGATAACATGGTTCTTTGGGACACTAATCCACCATCTTCTTGGCCTACTGGCTTTCTGAACAAAGTCGCTATTCCTTACCCCAGTACCTCAACTTATTGGACTGTCGTGCGGTGAGTAGTACGAGATTGCACTTGGTAACGTATGTACTCTCTTTACCATGACTGTATTAAGAGCCATATGAATAAAGACTCTTCTGTCTTTGAGTTGTCTCTGTTATCTACCCATTGCTGTAAGTGTGACAGGTATTTAATATATCCTTTTTGAAAAAATTCCCTCTGGATTCTGGTCCCAACATGCTGCCACAACTATTCTTACAAATTCAGTTATTTTCTATTTCATCTGATTTGATTTCTTAGCATTGTCTATCAAAGCTGACCACTACTCTTTCTTGAAAGATGGACTTTGCTTAGCTTCCCTACTCTATGCCCTTCTGATTTGTCTTTTGTCTCTCTGGCTACTTCTCAATC